TCTCCTTGATCGGTAACACAGTGGTTATCAAGGCCATTAAAAGGACTGGAAAAACTCTCCGAAGGCAAGTACACTATATATTCATCGTAAACTTGTCTGTAGCAGATCTTCTCTTCGCCTTAGAGAACATTCCCATGGTCTGCACTCATCTGCTACTCAGTGGAGCATGGAAAATTGAAGGCAACGTGGGCACCTTTTTGTGTCGGTTTGATCTTTTCTTATCCATTATTCTTATTTTGGTCTCAAATTTGACCATTCTGGCGATCGCTTTCGAGAAATTTTGTGGTATATTTTTTCCAATGAAAACGTTTGTCTCAAGAAAACGATCTTATGTAATTGTTGGGTCCACGTGGCTAATCGGCGCGCTCTACGCCTCTCCGTTGTTTTCATCTGGTTTTGCCAAACTTAAAAACTATCCCGACGGAAATTATCGATGTGATCTTTGCATCACGTGCGAAAAGGTTGTTAATTGGTTTATTTTACAAACAGCAGTCCTGGCGACTGGATTCGTAATAACTCTGATTCTTTATTCAGCAATTGGTAAGAAAATATGGCTTCGAAAAACCCCTGGATTTCAATTCCGCGAATTCCAACGCAGAGCTGAAGTTAAGAAACACAGAGCAATAAAAATGCTGGCAATGTTGGTGTTCGTATTTTACATTTCCTTCATACCATTTTGGATTTACCAGCTTTCAATATATCTCAGCTTCCACAAAATCCTTGGACCAAAGTACGGTCAAATTTCAGCATTCCTCATGTACTGTAACGGGGCCATCAATCCGCTAATTTACAGTGTTTATAATTTGGACATTCGTGGTGAGTTTAAGGCCTTGCTTACGTGTAAAAAACCGACAGAGAGGCCAAGAAGCTTGATGACAATACAAACAAGAAGACAAACTGAAAAGACTGCAGAACTAACTGTCAAGAACAAAGTTTGTCCATGTAACAAGACTCATCAAGAAGTCACCGGCATGAAAAACGAAGGATTTATTTACGAGGACACACGTTTGTGATCTATGTAATCAAGACTATAGTGCTTATAAGATAGCGAAAACATTACCTGTAGTTTTAGTAAAACGATACGGAATGACTGTAACTTTCGCGCCATGTCATGGATGGAGGAAACTAGGGAGGAAATAATGAGTCACGCGAGCAAAACGTAAGTCACGCTACCTAAATGAACTCACGCTATTTTGTGTCATGTGAGCTTTATCACATCATGCCTATTTCAGGCCTCTGACGATTCGTTTTGTATGTCTCGACAGCACGTGCACACTTAGCAGTGTTTTTTTAATTTTTGAAAGTGTTGCTTTCCAATTGTTGGAAGTTGTGGAAATGATCAGTTTTAGTATTATCAGTCAAATCAAATACTTTGTAGTCTGATCAAAATAAAATCATGTAAAAATGTCCAAAATGTTCCTGGCATCGCTTTGTGGTCACAAGTGGGACTGTTTCATTCAGCACCTTTCAAGCGAGTTTACCGTTTTCTCGTAGCAAAGTGTTAGTAAACCTAAAGGCGATGCTAGGCAAGAAACAGTTCAAACGCATTTAATTCTTGCTTAATGAGACAGTTTGCTTGCACGGTTATTTCTTACTTACGGCTTAGGGGGAAAAAACTCGCCATTGGTTCAGACTCTTGAGACGAGAGTGACGTCACTTGAACTTTGGAAGTGAGTTCTTTTAAATCAATTCTTGCTCAAGAAGTGCAAATGTAGGGTTAAACGTTGCCCTTTGTACCTTAAAGGAAAATTTGAAAAGATAACTGCGGTCACAGACACTCATTCCCGTGTGCTTTCAGTACTTAATTATTCACTGAGAAAATAGTAATTAAAATGCAAAGAGTTCTGTTCTTCCGACAATCGCTTTTAAAGGTAAAGCCTCAATAGAGATGCTGTTTATAGTTGTGAAGAGACCGTCTCATAGTCAGTGTGAGAAATAGCAAATAAGACCAGATGTTAGTATGCGAGTAAGCTCTCTTGAATCGGTGGTAAAGAGATTGTTTGCAGGCAAGAAATGTTATGGGATCATATCGTAGGCGTTAGTCTATCATCGGCATGTAATCAACCGCGCGCCCAGGGCTATTTGCGCCGCTCCGTTTCCCGAGGGTTTAAGTCTTGAGACCAGATTGCTCATTTTCTGATCATAAGAAGCAACAAACGAAACTGACTTCACTTAAAAAGTGAATTCGCGCTGCTTCAAACTTAATCGCGCTTATTCAATGTCCTTCAATTCGTCAAATGCTGGTAAATTTTTCTGGAGTTGATTTCTGAAAGACTGTCTCAAAGTTCGGGAAAAGAAAAAGAAAGTCGTTGTCTTTGTTCACGTCCTCCACAAAACGTGAAATTAGGCACCTCCACGTCGTAGTTGTGCAGTGACGCAAATAATATGTACAAAATGCGTGCAAAGTTGTTGTTTTGCCAATCTAATTAAAAACCTATTACTTTTTTGAATCGGCTCCTGTTTGAATACAATCTAAGCGGCGCTATAAAATTTGTATCTGTTCGGACATCCTGTGGCAACTCGAGTATTTGAGAAATTACAAGGGCTTCAGTATAATTTTCCCGAAAATTTTAGATGCATTTTAAGGCTTTAAGAAAGTAAGAATTTTTCTGATTTCTCTGTCCACCACATTTTCGAATCCGAAAATGTTAGGTTTTCTTTTACTACCAAAAATAGCCTTAGCGGGGAGTGAAATGAGAAAAATTAAACTTTAGAAAGTGGTAGAGAATTTAAAAAGATAAACTTCTGAAATTGTACATGAATGAAACGGTCATCTAGAAATTTTTAGCCTTCCTCAAACTCTAGAAAATTCTAGGCAATTTTTGCTTCTTCGGACAGCCACATTTTACAGAAAACAGTCATTGGGTGCCCCTGAGGAAAGGATCTTCAGAGAGCTTTATAAACTGAACTGGAGTTATTTGTCCTTAGCTAGAGAAGTTGAGGTGAATAGAATGATTGATCGTCTCTTTCTAATCTTCAAACTGATATAAATTTCGTGCGTCATCGAGTGGAAGGATTGGAACAATAACCCAAAAGTTTTTTATCTCAAGAGTAATGATCCGGGGGGGGGGGAATTCGCATATGAAAGGGGTGGGGATGCTCATCGGAAATTTTGAATTAAGCCCCTAAAGGAGACCGATCTAGGCGTGGCCCAAGCTTTTTTTGATCCCTAAAAGAGACCATGTTGAAACACAGACAAATGAGAAAACTTGGGTTATATGAATGGAGTAAATAAGACGAATTAAAAATACACATATCAAATATATATTTTTATATTTTTTCGCGTGCAACCCTAAACGAGACCTTCACGGCTAAATATGATGGCGTTTTGCCCAGAGCACCCTAAATGAGACCAAAATCCGAAATTTACACCCCTAAGCGAGACGACGAGCATCCCCACCACTTTCATATGCGGAGTCTCCCCCCTGGTAATGATCGTGATAATAATCGATGAATGGAGACAGGAAACTTAGTTTTCGACAGTCTGTATTTAAATTTCGTGATTTTTAAAGGCGAGTATTTAACATCCAATTTTTGTGATGTTAAAGAGTTTTAACTTAATAGTAAATAAACGACCGATGTTATATCTAAGATTTCAAATAATGTTTCCAATGAAAGGCAACAACAGAAACCATATAGTTTACGTGTTGTCCGTCCTACAAAGACCCCGATATCAATAGAGTTATCCGCTGAGGTGGCTTTTTTTCCACGAAAGTTATCACTTTTTTGTCTGCTTTTCAGTAAAAACAAAAAAAAAAGAAACCTATAAAGCAACAAATTTAATCAATTGCAATTGGAATTAACTTCTTACAATTTTGCGCTGTAATATACAGATGGAGAGGTAATCATTAACACTATTGTATGGTAACTCAAGTTAGTTCAAATATAGCCTTTGAAGTTGGTTATGGAATAATTTACTGATAGCGCTCGTAGTATTAAAATGAACTGGCGTGTAGAAATATTAAGGCTAAAATACGCCTTCCTTTCTGCCTCTCCGCCAAAGATTGAATTCGAATATACCGAAAAGTAGAGACAAAATTGGAAATGGCAATAAACGCAGCGACGTATAGCCGGAGACTAAACTGACGCGTAGGTGATAAAGTGAGCCGTTTGCGTCATTGCTGATGACAAAGAAAATCCCTTACAGCAATTTTACGGATGCAGGACTGCGCAGACTTTCTCACTGTACATTAATAGGAACAAGTCCATAACAGATTTTGGTCTTAACTGGAGAAATATTTTACGCATTACACACTCTCTTTAACAACATTTTATAATTCAATATATTTTTGGATTGTTCGCCCACTTTAGATTTCATAAGAGGTTTTGGAGTAAATTACAAAAATAATGCACGAAACTGTCCATTTATAGCACCAATTTTTCTCGTATGTTTGCGAGTTTAGAGAAGTGATCAAAGAGCGGGGGGCTTCAAAATATTCTCTTGAAAACGAAATATAATTATTTCTGCTAAAATACCCTGTCTCAGTGAATAGCCTCCATAACTAAATGCACATTTAAGCCTTGGCTATTTGTGTTTTTACGTAAAGTTTTATTGTTCTAACCACGGTAGCTCAAAGTCTCTAATACAACTGTATTCCAAATAACGATCTGAATCTGAAGTAAGGCAACGTTTTTGACAGAGTATACTACTTTCCATTTATTTCATAAAGTTAACTGAGGAAAGAGGATTATAAAAGCCGACTTTCACCTGCTGCGATTGTTCAAATAGAAATAAAGCCGTATTTTGGAATCCCACTTTATTTTTCATTAGCGAGTTTGAATATTGATGACCACGGACCTGTTTGTCAACTTCGCGATGCGTGTTTTCTCGAGAGGGAGATAGCGTTTTCGTCACGGCTGTGAAGGACAAAAGATTTGCCCAGCTACAGGCTCTTGTGTAATATCACAAGATTTTAATTGGAAAGTCAAAAATCATACTGATGATGACTTTAGAAAGAATCAATCAGTACCTCTGATGACTGAGCGATATATGATCGGCCATGAACTTCACGGAGAAAGCAGTGGTCAAATCAGCAAGCTCTTTTCAGAAACTGGAAAACAGATCATTACTACAAGTTATTCTTGAAGTAGGATTTGCGTTTGTTATCCTCGTGTTGGCTGCACTAGGAAACTTTTTAATGATGGCAGTCATGTATAAGAAAACACAACTGCGGACGACACCCAACTTGTTTGTCCTCAATTTATCCGTGGGAAATTTTCTCCTTGCTGGTGCAGTTCTCCCCGTTTTTATCTGGACGCTGATAAAAGGAAAATGGACTTTTAGCAAGACATTTTGTGAAATTCACGGGTACCTGAACTATCTATTATTTGCTATTACTCTTTTCACTCTAACAGCAATCAGTTTAAATCGCTACATATTAATTTGCTATCCTGGCAGATACCACGAGAAATTTAACAAGAAGCTTGTGGTAAAAATAATCGCTGGTATATGGATTTTGTGCATAATCTGCTGTACCCCGCCACTGTTTGGTTGGGGTCGTTTCAGCTTTAATCCTCGCACAGCTCTATGCCACAGCGACAATACCAGTAACTCTTTTAAATACGCGGCCAATACCTTCATGCTGCTAGACATAATCATTGTGGTATTTTGTAACATCAAAATTGCTCACGCAGTGAAAGCTCACCGTAGAAGAATTGCTGTCAAGAGCAGAAAATTAAAGAATGAGACCCTAGGGAATGACAAAGTTATTAGCTCAAATAAATGTCGAACAGAGGCTGTAAATGTCCTAGTTTTTCCAAAACTACAGGCCTGGCAGTCATGTTTGAGTGGAAATCCGACTGGGTCGATCTCGCCGAGATTTATCTACGTTTCCCAAAGGCCGGAAGAGTCTAATATTGTTGAAGCGAAAAACGAGGCAGGCACTACCAAAACAGAAGAAAAGAATAAAGAGACTCATTTTTCGACCGTGTGCTTTAGAAAAAACATTACAAAAGAGGTACAAAACAAGCCGCAACAGACACGAGAGCTACGCGGCGACGAGATTCACATAACCAGGACCGTATCTCTGATTGTCCTAGTTTTTTGTTGCTGTTGGCTTCCATGTTTTATCATGGACAGTATGGATGCATCTGGCTGTTACCCCCCAAGGAATCTTCGAATGGCAGGAATTTACTTAATCTTTCTGGACAGCGTTGTGGGGCCATTCGTGTACGGTATGAGAAATAGAAAATTGCGAAAAGCTTTCGTAGACATTTTAAAATGCGGTAACTAACCAACTAGACGTGCTTGGATAAAATTATTATAATTTATTTTCAACGTTTAAAATGGTTCTTCTGGAGTATCAATTTTTTTTCCTGATTAATGATTAAGGAAGGATAAATTGGAGCAAAAGTAATAACATGGTCTTAAGCTAGTTGCTGCACAAAAAGAACAAGTAAATACCCGGCTGAGGATATAATTTCAAGCCTAGCCATTATTTGTTAGTATTCCTAGAGGTCGTCACATCTGCTTAATTCATAACAATTCTCATCAACCAATCCGGCTGAGTTAGCCTATCAGTGACTGACAACAACTATTGACAATGACAATGTGATTGTTTCAACCCTTTAAACGACCACAAATCACCGAGCTTCAAGATAAATAAGAGAGCTATGAGAATTTTTAGGGGAATGATCAGACTGTAACAGCTACAATAAACCTACCAGCGAAGTTTTAGATGAAGATGACTTGGGAGGAAAGAGCGTACTAGTTATAATGGACAAAACGCAGGTCCGACCGAAAGGACATTCGTCCCAAGTCTACTTTCACTCTTGTTGAGTAACCGGCCAACGCCCGCTTTCCCAACCAAGGGCGATACTATTAAAATTTCAAACGCTTGCAAAACCTGTTAAGCTGGCAAGATAGATTGCGATTTCAAGTAGCTTTTCAGGAGGACGATTTAGCGCTGTAATAACTTGGACTTTTTTATTCCTACTCTTTCATCATAACATTATAGCTACGAAGGTGAAATAACAGAGAACTCATTTTTTGTTGACTTATCAAGAAGACTGAAAACCTATTGAAATGAATATGTAGAATCTGCAAAAAATTAAACTATTCTGCTTTTAAAAAGTGAGTTTAGTGAACAGAACAAACAAACTGTCGTACTTCTTATTCTGAACGTCTCCCTTATCTTCAATTGACGTCATTAGAAATAAAAAAAACTGTTTTATGACCAAATAGCAATTAGCAGTATTATTCTTCGAAAATAAACTACATGGCACGCAAACCAACATGTTTTAAGAATCAGTCAACCTCGTCCCCAGGGCTTTTTCCCAGTGAGAGAAGCGTTATAATATTTTTTAATTTAAAATTGTGCGCTTAATTAAATTGTTCAAGTTTGATCCGGATTAAACCACTGAATCTCATTTCTAAGCTAAAAACACCATCTCTTTCTGCAAGCTCCCATCTTTTAAAGAGGTAAAGGTTAGCTAGTTTAGTTTAGTTTTATCAGGTTTCAAAATGTTCTTTGAATAATATAAGGATTATCTGGTTCAGGAAATTAGATTCCGAGGCTAAAACCTCGGCTGTGTTTTATCAGATTTAAACGCACACTGTTGAAGACATTAATTGCTTTTTTTTGTTTTGAGCTTTTATGTTGTGAACGGGATCAACCTACGGGTAGCTTGATCGGTTCGTGGTAGTTTGTTTAACTTTGTTTGCACAGTTGGTGCCAGTCAAAAGGACTTTTTCACCGAAATATATTATTCCCGACTTTTTGGCAGTCAGCTTTGATGAAAACAATGAAGGCTATTTATTAAAGAACATGTTTGTCAAATAAAATCTTTATGAAGTCTATTAAAACAAAACTAATTTTTGAAAAAGGAAAGTCATGCACAATGATAGGCAAATTGGGGTAAAAGGGCTTATCCAAATTTTCAAATTCACTTTTAAACGAGTCTTCTGGATACATGTATCTCATTAATGGCAAAGTGGACTATCGGGCGCAAAGCAGATCACAGTCCCCAAAGTTCTAGCGCATACGCCAGCTCTCGATTTTGTAAGCCCGTCGTGTGCAGAGCGAGATGTTGGTACGAGATTCGCCCTGTTAAAAAGGATAGTTTAAACGATAGTTGGGAGAATTCTTGTAATATCGCTTCTTTTTTTAAAGTCGATTTGATGTAAGGTTTAGTATCACCCTATACACTTTTTGCGTCAGTTTACTTGTACCCTGCGTACCAGAGGTTATTTTCGCGAGTGGCGATTCTACGGGATCGGCCGAAGGCCGAAGCTACGACCGGCTATGGCCAAAACTAGACTGACTGTGCATGAAAAGTCTCTGCATGGTATCCAGGGTAGTTAAGTCGGTGTTTAACTCTTTTTACTCAGACGTCAGTTCAAGGCTAGGGGAATTATGTGAAGCCTACCGGTTGGAAATTATGGAACATCATAACGTTCTTGTGATTTGTGATACATCTGTCTTTAAAGCATTATCGCAAGTGAAAATGACCCATGATGACTTACCCGTGATAACACATATTTTCAGTATTTCTTTTCCTACACAGCGAGTACCCAAGATTTGGAAGACTGCAAATGGGCGGGCTATTCTCATCAGGGGCGTAGCTAGGGGTGGGGGGGGGGGTCTTTGGGTGCCCGTGACCCCCCCTTGGTAGGCCTTCTTTTGAGCAAACAACCTACAATATTCAGGTGGCGAAAACGCCATGACAATATCTTGGCCGTAAAAGCCATTGTTGAAAAGCCCACTTTTTTAAAATTTGTTTTTTAGTAAAGTATTTTCGTCAACGGCTCTTGTCTTTAGTTAGTATGGGCCTTCATGCCGCGTTAATACGACTGAGCCCGCTGATACACGAGGGAGAGCAGCGGTATAAACCATATATAGTCGGCGATCCCCGGATGGTGTCCCTGTCTGTGACCCCCCCTTTGAAAAATCCTGGCTACGCCCCTGCTCATGATGACGAATACCGTAAAATTCCGAAAATAAGCCCCTCCATGTATAAACCCCTCCAAATATAAGCCCCCCAAACCGGTAACGCGAAAAACCCTCCGTTAATCGCCCCTCCAAATATAAGCCCCCCCAGGGGCTTGTACTTGGAAAATTGCCCTCAAATACAACGTAAAACAAAGAAAAAATGGTAAATTTACTTCCAACTATAAGGCTAGCCCAATCGAGTTTGAATTGAAATTTCCCACCGTAGATAAGCCCCTCCGAATATAAGCCCCTCCAAAAATAAGCCCCTCAAAAAGGGCCTTTGAAAAATATGAGCCCCGGGGCTTATTTTCGGAATTTTACGGTATTTCTCCTTTGGGCCAACTTAGACAGATATCAGTTAATGACCATTTAAAGTCCTGGAGTTCGAATGAGCTGAAACCTGTTTCTTGTTTTATTTATGCAAACTATGAGTCTCACTCCCTATAAAAACAATTGTTAAACTGAGACGCTGAGACTGATCTCTTGGCTGCGATAGCTTGATCGCAGTGCCAACTTTGTTAGAAAGTTTTTCTATTGACTTCTCGAAGGCTTTTAACCGCAGTTTTCCAAAGCATATTCACTGATTAACTTAAGAAAGTGCCTATTAATTAATTGGGTTTTCGATTCTTTACTGAGAGACTGTCAGCTAATGATATGAGTCGGAGTGTCATAGTTCCATTCCTCCCTATCAATCTAGGCGTACCTTAGGGCACTGTTCTGGGACCTGTCCCTTTTACCGACATGGTTATTAAAGATATGAGCCCCACCTTTCAGAGTACCCTGATGACTAGATGCTGACGCAGATGTCTTGGCAGACGGGAATTTGATGAAGCTTAATCCGAGTAAGACTGCGAGGAACTTGTCATTTTATTAATTTAGGGAAGAATTGGTTTCGCCATATGTTAATATTAAACTTGTGTTATACCTGAAGCTCCTAGGGATAGTTGACCAACTGGGATATGCCGTTTTCATGTTTTAAGAGAAAAAGCTCTTGCTCGTTCGTATAAAAGTAATAGTTAAGCAACTTGTCTCCAGGGTCTTCTCGAATTCCAATATGGCGGCGATATAGTGGAAAACGAGAAGACCCTGGGGAGGAAATTGTAATTATAGCGTATGTGTTCTTCCGGTGTTACCTTTTTAACTCTCTCATTTTATCACTCTTTATTTATTGCATCCTTGTTTGAGGTGATGCTGGGAGTCTCGTGAGAACGCGCGAGCGAGCGGCGAAGCCGCGAGGGGCAGGGGAAAGGCCCCTCGCTCGCGCGTTCTCAAGAGGCTCACTTCGCTTACCCAAATAGGAGAGCTTGCTCGCAGGCTAACTTTGGAGCGACACTGGCGCGACATCTGATTCAGACAGCGCACAGTGTGTCGAGCCTAAGTTATAAGTTCGACAAAATTTCGACAGACTATGTCGAACCGCACCAAACTAAACGGCTCCCGCCGTACCAAATTGATTCAGACGCCGCTCTTTTGCTGTTCTTAATTTATCAGTTAGGTTCGGCACATGAGTGCTGAGCGTCGTCTGAACCGAGTTTAAGTAAGATTTGGCAAGAGAGAATGAGAAATAAAGAGAGAATCAGTTCATTCTCTCTTAGATTTGGGTATCTCAGTGTTCAACACCGATCCAACATGATGCACTGTTTAAGAGAGGGATTTGAGGCTCTAGAATGGTATCCCTAGCGTCCCCTACAGGATCTTCTCGCCTCACGTATTACTTGAAGAACAGGGCCTACCTTACAACGGCCCATGTGTTAATTCTGAGAGGGTTAAGAAATGCTTTGTAAAGATGTCTGCTTGATTTTAATTGGATTTTAACTTAGTAGTTTCCTAGCCTTACACAGTTTGTTCATTTTATCATTACTTTTAAGTTACTATCTTGAACGTCTCTTCAAAACAAACCTTATCATTATTAATTATTCATGTAAAGCTGAAGTTAAAAAGCAAAGCGTCCAAGTAGTATTCTTTTTTTGTGTTTTTGTGTTTTTTGTTTTTTTCATTTTGCTATACTGAAAACAAAAGGAGTTAAACTGCCCGACGGTAGGTAGATTTTGCGCCAAGGTTTATCACAGAAACGTCGGCTAATTTATTTCTAATTTAAATTGCCAGTTTAAGACGTGACTGCAAAATTGCAGATAACTGTCACTCTGAATAAGAAGTGGAACAAAACCCGACACAGTCTTTTGTTAGCTTACCTAAAAATAACACGTGTTTTATTAGAATATCAAAGCCCTGTGCAAAACGTCCTGCTACTAAATCGAACGGACATATAACTTGGTCAAGTAAACTGTGAGATTTGTTTCCACCGTTTCTCTTTGTTCATTAGCGATTTGGCCAGAGGTAATAGTTTGTCAAAACCACGAAAAAGCTGTCACTATAGTTTGTTGAATTTATGTCCTTTCATTATCCGTTGACAGAAATGTTTACATATTCAGATTCAAATTAAGAATAAAAATAACATTGACGCACCACCGTTAGAAGCAATATATGTTTTATTTTCTTTCTGAAATCAATAGAAAAACATCTTTCAAAAATCCTGACTCTAGCTTCAACTGTACGGCTTAATAATTAAGCTTAATATACCATTTTAAGTGGTCACAGTATCCGAGTATTAATTTTGTGGATATGACTGAGAAGACCGCAATTTACTGAGAAACTCCCGACCGTCAATAAACATATCATTCATAAATATTCTATCCACCAAACCTCCGGACGGACAAAAACTGTTCTTGCTTCGTCCAGATATAAAATTATCGCGTATTTTATCATCGTTTGGTCACTGAAAAAAGTAAAACAACTCAAAAAATCAACTACAACCTCTTTTGAGAATCCTTGTATGAGTCTATAATACGGTTAAATCAAGATGGGGTCGACAGTAAATGCGTCGATTTGCATAAAAGACTATATTTTCCTTTTCTTCCATTTTTTCTTCTTGCATAAACAGACGAGATAAGTGTACCTTATGGTCGGCTCATAATGCTGTTAATTTCCGTTTTCTTTCGATTTTTAATTTCGCCACCTTAACTGTGCACAGAAAGCCTCGCCACGTACGTTGCCTTGGAACATTTAATTCACAAAAATACTTTGTAGAGAATTTTTATTCACAGAATGACAGCTGAACTGAGAAGGTGCCACGCCACAATAACATGAATATTTATACATTGAATGAACGTGATTTTCGCCAGGAGTAAACCCGCAACTCAATTCAAAAAAACGTACTTGGTGTATTGTATATACGCACCCAGAGGTTGCAATAACGTGATTTGCCCACAACACCATCTTTTCGCGTGCTTATCAGAAGCGTGATTAGGTAGTAACAAAATATCCGAACAGTTTAATTCTTTCGTCGATCGTCATGGGCGCAAAAACAAACGTAGTGCCTATCAAATGGAAAATCGCCGTTACTATATTATCGCTGTTCTGTTTAGGGCTGCTCATTGCCTTGATTGTGGTAGCAGTAGATTTTGCCCAGTACAAAGATAAATACCCAGGCAAGCAAGAACAACACGACTGCGCAGATGGCCTTCTGGAGGACGGAGAACTTCCGAAGTCGCAAGCCATTTTCAATGACCTCTCGAGCGAAGAACTTGTCGCCGCAAGGGATTTTTTGCTTCAACAATCTTCGCTCAAGCTGAAGACCATGGACAAAGCTTTGGTAAATGACAACTACATATATCTAATCCAACGACACCTTCCCGACAAAGATGAAGTTCTTAGATATCTAGATAGCGACAGCGATCGGAAGCCACCAAGAAAAGCGCTTGTTGTTGTTTTTCAAGGTTCCGCAAACCCTCCTAATGTTCAAGAATACATTATCAGCTGGCCAAACGACACTGCGGAAATGACATACTCAAAACATGGAGACGCGCTTGATTTTAATGTGAGACCTTATGATATGGTGCAAGAGAAGGCCATTCAGAAGATTGTGTACAATGCAACAGAAAAGGCCTTTAGACTTCTGAATGAGAGCTATGATGGGTATTGCTACCATAACTGCACAAACACACGTTTAAGGTTTCGACCACAAACTCCATTTGGAAAAACAAGCTATGAACGCACGACTTGGCTCCAGTTTACCCGCGAAGGCTTAGTTGAAGGAACATACCTACATCCAGTTGATTTTCAGCTATACATAGATTTTGCAGGTGCAGACGTCTCCAAATGGAATATCAAAAAAGTTTACTATCACGGTATGTCATTTGACACGGTCGATACCCTTGTATCTCAATACGATAAGGACAACATTCAGAAATCGAATATCCCCGCTCCGCAGACAGTTTACCAGGGCGAACAGCCATTGTTTTCCTCTTTGCAACGCCGTGGAATCCCCCAGCCCCAGAAACCCATGCGCGCCCCACGAATGTTTGAGCCAGACGGAAAGAGATTCAGTGCCAGGGATAGCTACATCAAATACATGGGCTGGAGCTTTTATTTTCGGATCGACTCGGTTTCTGGTCCCCAACTTTTTGATATTCGATTCAGTGGCCGAAGAATCATTTATGAGCTCAGCTTACAAGAGGCAATATCATTTTATTCTGGCTACTCTCCGTACTTCATGGCTGCCAATTTTGTATATGGCGGTTGGACAATGGGAGCGAGGTCTGTTGAGCTGATTGGTGGAATTGACTGTCCAGAAACGTCCAAATTCTTCGACGCAATTTATTTTGTCGACACGGACAAACCTAAAGTCGTCAAGAATGCGTTGTGCGTCTTTGAACAGGACAGCGGCCTTCCGCTAAGGCGTCACTTTGAAAAGGGCGGTACTCAGGAGAAGAAGGGATACAAATTTTACGGAGGCCTGCCTACCAATGTACTCGTGGTTCGCACCATCACTACCATTGAAAATTATGATGGCATCTTTGACTTCTTGTTTTATCAGAATGGTGTTGTAGAAGTGAAGGCAACGCCCAGCGGCTATTTGTTAACTGACAACGACAGATTTAACAATGATGACTTGTATGGACAAAACGTTTACAGCAAACTAACTGGAAATCTTCATGATCATATCTTTCATTACAAAGTAGATCTTGACATTTCCGACAGAAGGAATTCTTTCGAAACCATAACGATTGCTACGGAAGACAAAGAAAACGCTTGGCTCCCAAGGGAAAGAAGAATTTTAAAAGTTTTTCGGAGAGAACTAAATGGAAATGAGGACGATGCAAAGTTCACGAAAATCGATTTTGACAAGCCCACCTTTTACAACGTTTACAGCAGCGATGAAAACAAGTTTGGGTCCAAGAAAGGATATCTAATCCAACCAGAGTCAGCAGTGAAACAGGTTTTACCAGTAAATGATTACATCACACAAATGGCACCATGGTCTATGTACCCACTCGTTATTACAAGATACAGGGCATCCGAGCGAAAAAGCAGTTCTCTCTACAATCAGAACAGTCCCACCAAACCAATTGTCAATTTCCCAAGTTTTGACACGGTTCAAAACGAGGGAATAGTCGAAGAGGATCTCGTCGCTTGGCTCACTATTGGTTCGATTCAAATACCGACCTCCGAAGATGTTCCGAACACTGCGTCAGCTGCAAACACGGCAAGATTTTTCCTTCGGCCGTTTAATTACTTCGACGAAGATCCCTCCATAAATTCTACTAATGCAGTGCTTATTAGACCTGATAATCCGAATAATGTCGTCCTAACATACGGAACGCCGCGTGGAGAAAACGTTTGTGTTCCCAGAAAGTATGACATTAACATAAAGGGAACATACGGGTAAAGACTTGACTGCCCCGAGGGATATGTTATGTACGAACATACAGAGAATCCAGTACACTCCTGCCATGGGCAACTGTCCGCATGAGCTCGCTGAGTACTGAAACCAAGTCGGAAGCGACAAGACTGTGCTGTTTGCCTTCCCAACTGATTAAGAACGCAAGTGATCAGTCTCTCGTGAAATTAATCTATTTCACTTAAATCATTGAAGTCAAGTTATACCAATAGATTGATTAAATCGGATGCAAGCTCTAGTGGCCCCGTAGTGGGAAGGAGACGATAGAGGTTCTAGCAGTTTTCTCAACGCGGCTTCAGATTCAAATTTTACTTGCAGTAACAAAAGATGCGGTAGGACTGAAACCAGTCCGTTAGACCTTGAGGAATTCGCCTCAGACCCATCTGCGCCACTTTATGTTCCCTTTAATTCCCAACTCCTCAGGTCGAGAGCTTATATTGGCAGGATGAAATATGGCATCGTGACTCCCTTCCAGTTAAAGGTAAAATAGCCAGAGGATCATGCTCAAAAGAATCATTTGGTATCTTATTTGGGAAGAGGCTGAAGATGGGGGCCGGGTCTCAAGTTTCAAGTCGAATCTTTCTGAGAGCTAGTGTTAATTACTTAAATACTTAAAGTCAATAAAAATAAGGCAAGGTTGCTTGGCTTTTTGTTCGAAAATCTCTGATAAGTCTTTCGCAGGCAGGGGGACATCTTTCTATCTTCGTGCAAGAGGGCCAAAGATAACAACTGATCTGTTAGCATTGTAGATCGTATTAGCCTGAGAAAACAGCCGACATTTGGCGACGCTATCACAGGTTTCCCTGCCAAATGACGTTTGAGAAACGAGCGCAGAACTTTCATACTGATGACGCGTCACTTCCCAGATCTGGGTAGTGCTTCTGATTGGTTGAATCAAATTTCTCACGCGGCACGACCAATCAGAAACACTACCCAGATCTGAGTAGTGACGCGTCATCAGTATGGAATTTCTGCGCTCGTTTCTCACACGTCATTTGGCTGGGAAACCAATGGTGGCGTCGCCAACTGTTGGCTGTTTTCTCAGGCTAAGATCGTATGTACTCTTTTAGCCTCCTCATGGTAGTGTATGATCTAGACTTCTCAAACGTCTCTGTAAACGTTTCTTGAAACTCAAGAGAAGACAGGAAATGAAACAGAGGGAGTGAGATCGACTTTCTGATCAGTGGTGCCTGGCGGTTGCTGTGAGACTTTAACGAAAACGTAATAGCTACAGGAAATTTAGGGGGAGAATCAGAACGAAAGGAGTTAGCTGCCCTTTGCGGGCAGCAAATGGTGTTGCCAACAGCAGACTCCTAATTGCCAATCTTAGTTCGATCGAGAAGAAAAATAATGTGATCTAAATTGTTTTATGAACACGTGATATCCCGCGCTCATTTTGCCTCAAATTCCTGTTAAGCCCGGGCTTAATAACTTATTAAACGCAGCTATACGCACCTGCCTGTGAAAAAGACAACTGACAGAACAACGGAAAAAGAGTAACGGGAAATGGGGAAATGGAAAATCAGGAATGGGAAATAGGGAACGGGGAATGATCAATGTTGTTCCCATGTTTTTTAATTTTCCCGTTTCCTGTGCTCGTTACCGGTTCTCAGTTCCTTATTTCAGCAACTTCCGCCTCACCTTCCCCACCCTGCTTGATGTACTCAGTCTTTTCTGGACTAAATTTAATTTAAACTTTTACAAGTGTAATTTACGAATGTAGCTATTGTTTTCCGACTCTGAAACAACAGCTTCACTTGTCAAAGTTTCATAAAATTGGCCCCTTTGTTTAGGGACGGACCATTATTATTGTTACAGGGGGTCCGGTGGAGTGGGGAAAAATCAAAACACAGTCATGTAACCCGAGATGCCTGGAAAAAAATGTTGCGCACCCACACGACAAAAAAAAGCTCTTGCGGATAGATTGCCTCTTACCCTGGGTGCTAGAGGCTTTTCATGCGCCGTTTAAGCTACTCGTCGCACGCGAGAAAAACCCTCTGGTACCCAGGGTAATTGCCTCTTCAAGTTAGGTTAGACTACGAGTAGTCCCCAATTTTTTCTCAGGGATAGTAGAGCGAGCGGAAACGCGTGAAAATCACGCCACGCGCGCGCAAGAAAAGGCGACACGCGGCGGGAGAGAGAAAACTTTTTTCTCTCCCCGCCGCCTGTCGCCTTTTCTCGCGTGGGGTGATTTTCACGCGCTCTAGCGTTTCACCCGCTCTACTATCCTGGAGGAAAAAATGGGGGACTACTGGTAGTCTAAGTTAGGTAAAATGATATTGATCTGTGAAAGGTTTGAACCCAGGAGTCATTTCAAAAGTAGGTTGAGTTTGATGGTCCGGGTGAACGTAGTCCTGAATAGGACTGTTGTTGTTGACAGTGACTACAACAGTCCTATTCAGGACTACGTTCACCCGGACCATCAAACTCAACCTACTTGTGATATTCATCTCTTTGCAAAACCGAGATATAATTTCATTACCTCAAAAAGGTGATTGTCCAAGTAGCCAAGACCTTTGCCTTTTAAAATAAAAAAAGGTTCACCACGAATGTGGGCGGGGTGCTTCTTCCTTACCCATATTCTCTACATGTAATTGTATAAAGGGGGTTCTGTATATTTGAGCCTGCCACCATGCTCTGGCTCTCCTTTTTGAGAAGAGAACTGGACACAAAAAAATAACTTGCCAATGTTAGAAAAAATACCCCTTCATCGATCAATAAACTGATACAACAAATCAAGGTCAAATACAATAAGCGTTTATTTGTGACATTTTAAATGCACGTAAGGTTAAAAAAAGATGACTCGATAATATTACTATTTTAACCGTAGCTACTGCACATCACACAAAATTACCTCTAATATGCACTCCTAATAGCTATACTTATCGTTTTGTAATGAAATAATTATAAAAATGATATTAAAAGATACTCTTTTTAAAATCTATTAATCTTTAAGCACATTGTCTTTCTTAGGCAGAGCTGTAATTTGTCAGTTTACCTTTCTCTCTGTAAGTAATAACAGTGAATATTTGTTACCTTCAGGATCATAAGCTGACAAACCTTTGAAACACTGAGACTGTGTTGTGATTACATCCAATTGGAAATATCCTTAAAGTTGAATTATTATTTTCCTTTAAAAATGTTGCTGAAGCTGTGATAGGTAAAGGAGAATAATAATTTAACATAACAAAATTAATATGAACACAAACAAGTACACAAACCAATATGACCTTAAAAGAGTTTTGCACACCTATCTAAGAGTACTGTGTGTGCTGGTTTACAAAATAACGATCAGTTGACCAGGGCTGTCACAAATAAAGTAGCCTGGGTTTGATACCTTTGTCTGCTGTGAACATGTCAAGTAGCCAAGTTCACATTCCCAACAGCCACACAAAATTACAGGTTCCTGGCTCCTAATGACAGCCCTGGAAATTCCTGAAGACCAGAAGGGCATTTTTCTCTGCTGAACTTCATAGATAATGACAGTCTATCATATTTCGTTATGTATGCGAAGCATTTGCCATGTTATGATCCTGAATAATTAACAATTATTATCAAAAAATTTAACACAGTTCTATGAGTTGCTGTTGTGCTGTAAGTTAACGCCGGTTGGTGAAAACAGGTCCTATTCCCATCTCCATTCACACAATTCCCACATCATGTCAGTTAAGAAGCAGTGTTGATTAAAACTCAACAAGCTTATATTACTTTTTTATGTTATTTTTCTTTGCATGCTATAAATCTCGGGTCCTACCACAGGTACTGGCACACAGATTACATTAACAAACGAACAAAATAACAGAAGTCTCCCAAAAGACTTTATTCTTTGACTCTTCTGTTTCTGTTGTGCCCGTACATGTCGAAGGACCCCAAATCTCCCTCTCTACAGGTATAACAATGTTAGTCTACATTATGTTTGCTGCTCGCACAATGTCAGACTGAATTTCCTCTTACAGCTTCTGAAACTTGTTGCCACCTCAACGCACTACGCCCCTGAAGATTCACACTCGCGAGCACTGTCTCTGCTGCTTGAACAATGAAACACCTCCAAGTCAAATCTGGACCATTATGAACCAATCCACTGGGCTCAATCTAACAAAACCAACTCTAGGGCCCAAACGAAAATTTGTGCCCAAGGAAGGCTTCCATGAGCAACGAAGCATTGATTAAGAAATATCGCTGCAGCTCAGTCCGTCATGTCATCATCCATGGTGCTGGAGCTTGGGCTAGGGTTACTTGACGATTGTATTGAATAGTCGTCCATCGCCTCTTGGCTCTCTTGGCTACATGATGTTGGTCGACAAACACTGCTTTCTGCAGGTTCTTGCTTTATTTTGAGAGCCTCGGCAGTTGGTTTCGCAGAGAGAATTGATGACAATAGCGCTGTTGTCGTGTCTGATGTTAAAGGTGTTGTAGGAATTCCATGAGCGCGAGCATGCATCTCAAGTTCCTGGGGAAATAAACAAAACAAAACAAAAAAGTTAACCTCAGCTGTTTTTTATCCTTATTCTGCATTACTTTTACATGGTGCTATTTAAACAATTACATTGTACTTAACAAAACAACACAAAACTCAATATGGCACTTGTTTTTAAATGCTTTACAAAAAGAAAAAATTAACTTTTGTTTGATTATTTGTTTTCGGCACATACATGTAAGGCACTTTTAAGCAAAAGGTGACTTTTTTGTGTGCCAATCACAGTTATTATCAAAGCATAAATTATTAGGCCATACTGTACTAAATTTTAAGTTTCTGTACGAATTCTAGAGTCCAAAGCAAAACAAATAAATAAACATGATTTCAGATTTTCCCTCGCAAAAGAAAAGGTTTAAATGAGGCTGTAAAAACTGATTTGATAGAAAATACATTATTTTATGTCATTAACTTACTTGAACCCGTAGTAAAAGTCTTCTGTTGAGTTCCTCGCTATTTCGTTTTTCCTCTTCCAACTGTCTTATACGATCTTGCTCCTTTTTCAACCGCCTAATGTAATCTACTGATGCCTTTAAAATTGTTCCTTTGTTTTGACGTACATCACTACAACAAAAATTAGGACATCATTAACTTTATATATTTTGCGCACAAAAACAGGTCAATTTTGAAAACAAAGAAGGGGTGTAAAAACTTCAAAAAATGGGAACTTTATACTTACGAGTCTTGTCGAGGAAGAAGGGTGCCTAATTCTTTAATTCTGTCATTTATGTTAAATCTTCTCCTTCTTTCAACTACGACAAGAAAAGACATCAAGCATTAGAGTCTATTACAACAGATAAAAAAGGGTGAACAAAAGTAGCAAGGGTTTGTTGTTTGTTTGTTTACTTTCTCGAAAGACTTGGTCCTTTCTCTTAGGGTGATCAGAATATTGTGGTCCTAAGAATGGAAGAAGCATATGCCTTACACATTCCTCTACAAAATGAACCTCCATAATACCCTTGGATATCTCAGTTAAAAAGATTCAACTGTATCTTGGTTTGTCAAATACAAACTAGAACATTTGCATGATAATGCTTTGACTACAACTCATGTACCAGAATCCTTCAGTTCATTGTTTTCACGTGCAAATCAGGGCTATTGCTTTATAAATCTCAGTGGGATTGATAAATTTCAATAAGGACGCAAGCGACAAACTTAATTCTTCCTGGTAGTTATAGTTTACTGATGTCATCATGAAAGTGGGCTATTTCCATAGTTACTGGACTAAGAAATGTGAGGTGAATGATGTGGAAAAGGGGTATGAGAGTTGAAAGGTTAGATAGGACACTTACTCATATTGTGATTATCTTTCTTCTGTCGGTCTTTGGCAAATTGATGCTCCAACAATTCTGGAAAATAAACAAAATAAGACTTGTTTTAGAAAAAAACGAGGTCTTACAGACAACAAATGTACATTAAAAGCAGTGAAAAAACCACTGTATCACTATGAAAATTTGAGGCAGAGTGGTTAAGCAATCAGGGTGCATGGTGGACTTGCAATCCAAAGGGCCCAAGTTCAAGTCTCACCTCCTGACTAAACTCTGGTTACACTGTCAGCGAAATAGCACCAAAATCTTTGTTTTCAGGGTGTTCATTAGGCACTGGACATCAGAGCATTCTCTGTTTACTATGTAGAATTCTTGGGCTAACATTTCATAGCCTAAGGCCATATTTTTATTCAGACATGGAGCCTCTTTCAGCACCTTTCTCTGCTACTAAATGAAAACCCTGTGTTCTGGGCCATGATTTGGGTAAGCACCATGACTGGCCTGTTAAAACAGCCATTGTCGATTTGCCAATCACGTTGAAATGAAATTGGAAAAGCATTTTCGGTAATTCATTGAGTCCTTTAGGGACCCAGAAAAATGATCTCACGTTACTAACCGGGGTTACATTACATCTGCGATGCAGGCTACCTGAACGCTGGCTGGATTTTTCAGGGCAGTCATGAGTTCGACTCGTCAGCAATACATTTCACTTTTAAACAGCCAACTGATTCAGCTATGATTATGCTTCATTTGGGGGTCATCCTCAGTGTAAAAACCTGTGAAGTTTTTCTTTGTTTTCTAGCTATTATTTTCCTTGGCCCTATTGTGTTGACTTCACAGTGGCTTCTTTGTATTAATTGTTTTACATCGCTCATGAGTTTCGCAGGTTTTTACACCGAGTAAGAGCCTCATTTGGTTTAAAGGGGCTGTGTCAAGTTTTCTAGTTCATTTTGTTTTTAATGCCAATAAGTGTCCTTATTCACCATGGAACTTGTGAGATTAGTTATAATCGGCAAAATCACAGCTTCACATCAAACAAATACAAGGTTTGTACGTTTGAACAAAAAAATTCAAGGACTTTTCAAGGACTTTCAGGGACACATTTCGCATTTTTTAAGGACTACTGAGTACATTCAGTGCCAAAAAAGAGCCTTGAGTCTATGTCTTGTTTTAGTTCTTCCACTAAAGGCCAGTAAGTTTAATTTCATCACTTACCCTGGGGTTCCTGTTTTATGACAGCTGGACAACTGGTTGAAGGTGGTGGAGCTTGAAGCTGTCATTAAAACCAAAAATAAATTGTTCACAATGAGAGTCTCCAAGAAGAAGAATCATGATAATTCTTGCTCTTTTTGTGTACATTGCTAATTAAGCTACGAAAAGTAATGTCAACTCACTGATGCCCATGAAAATTAGTACGAATATCTTCTCTAAGGATTAGGCAGCTATAATCAAAGGGCTTTGAGAGACTTTACTCAAAAACACTAAAATACATGTAACTTGTAAATGACGGCAAAATTTTTTAAGTTTTTTTTCCACCTGTCCTTTTCTACTGACAATTATTTTAGCATGACCACATCAAAATTTGTCAATTCTGTTGGACTTTCAAGTAGTAGTAAGTATTGGTGTCATTAGAGATCTTAAGACTTTAAGACATGGACGACCGCAAGTACGAGATTTTCTCAATACTACACTTAAGAAGTGTGCAAACACGAACCAGTGTCATCTTGGCGGGAAAATGTGATAGCCTTCGCCATTCTACTAAGAGTTTTGGTGGGAATGTCTCAGTGGCTGAAGCAAGTAATCAAATGCTAGAAGATTTATCATTTTACGATTGGGAGATACATAAAACCAGTGCCAATTTTTCTGGTTAAGAAAAAAATCAGTTAATGAAGCATTCCAGGATACATGAAAAATATTTTTTGTCAAATCTCATTCTAATAGTCGTCCTCGTCCTTGAATCTTAAGGTCTCTAATGCTCCAGTAACCAAGTAATATCTTTCATCATTGAACAAAATCAAGGCAACTAAAAAAGGGGTTCATGCTCAAAGAAAAGTACATGTAGACTGTACATGCAAGGAACTTTAATGTATATTATAGGATTACCTGGAACTCAGATTAGTAAGTGTAATCAAATGGTGGCAAGTGAAATTAGGGAATAATTTCATGTGATTTTACGATAACTAATGAATTGAAGCAAAACAATAATTTCACTTACCAAAGGAGCCATCCCGAGACCATTATACAAATCGAACATATTGTTTGTTGGAACTTGTGGAACCTTGGAAGAAATGAACTTTGGTCAGACAGACAAAGCAAAAACTCACGAAAAGATATGCCCTTTCACATGCACAGACCAGTTATGTAACTATGAACATGTCATAAATAATATTGCCTAACAACCTCTCCCTGACAATAACAGCGGAGGCGTAAAGTGTCCCGCCCAACAACAGGAAATCAAGATTGGGTTACAACCCTTGGGTTGAAAGTCTGATGTCCAAACTCATAATTATTTCCCAACAGGGGAAATCCTTAATTTTGGGATTAACAAAATACATGAACAGTAAATTTGGCACAATCACATACATTCTTAGAGTAATCATTCCATCTCTGGATCAGCGGAGGTGAATACAGAGATGGTGATTATAGCGTTTTTTCTAGTTTAATCACTTCTCTTTCAGTTTCTTCTCCTACTTCAATCTACATATAATTATGTACATATTTCTCTACAATATTAGCAGCATCTGACACAGGTTTCAAACTGTGACTGTCTAGTTTTAGTAGCTACCTGACAGTCAAATCATTTATCATTTTTAGGTGCAAAACTGAGCCAAAACAATGTTAACTTTAGTGACATTCTAAGCCACAAAATGCCAGGTGAAGATTTATTTTACAATCAAAGTGCCAAGACATTCTACTTTCAGAAATGGATATGCCCCAAAATGATATTACCGACAAAAAGTTCTAATCATGTTGAGGCACAATTTAATCTTTGGTTTAACTTTTAGAAAAACTTCCCCTTTGGTTCTATATATGGTAATATTTGTAAAAATTTAGAAACCAAAGACGGATAACTTAAAGACAGGATTAGTTAAAACTAAACTACAGCAAGTACTGTTAACTTACAGAGCCAAGAGTTAATGCAGTTTCCCAAGGAAGTCCGTCGTCAATAGGATTTGACTCAAGGCTAAGAAGAGAAAGTAAGAACATCAGCTTGAACCTCAGAGATGTGTGATTAAAATGAACTAAGAAATTAAGGGCACAGTTACAAAATAATGTTTACCACTATCATATGACCTTGTCATGACTATAGTGACATCAAGTCACACTGTCATCTGATTCATTAATGACTGGAAATCAAGGTTAGAATTTAATATCTTAACCTTTTAACCCTTGACAGTGACAAGCATCTAATTTCTCCTTAATATATCACTGTTTAATCAACCAAAAAGATCATGAGAAAAAACTAAAACAATCTCCAAGGTTAAACTGACTGTAAAACAAATTCTCCTCATCAGTACCATATGAAATGCACTGAGAAAGATGTAGAGGATTCAGCTGTGCATACACACTGATTGAGAGGTTTAAAGGCTAAATTTTATGTAACCTTTTTGCTTTTATAAACATACAGCAAAACAAACAGAACCACAAGCAGTTTGTACCAATTGATGCCTTTTTGGCATCTACATTAAAATTTTGATAAAGTCCTCACGGTGCTTGCCAAGGGGAAAGAAATGGGTAAAAGCTTAAGAAGTGCATAAAGAACAACTGACTTGTTTAAATAACATAACATATAAAATTAAAAGAATCACATTAACAGATTACTTCACCAACCTTATAATATCATCCACAATGTTGTCAAACTATAAAATATAACAAGCAATAAGTTATTAGAAACTACACACAGGACATCCTAAAAAGTGATTCACTTGTTAAAACACTTGTTAACAGTCAAATCTGATCAACTACATGTACCGATGCCCACAGATTACAATGTAGAAGAATGTATGAAACGACAGATGAAGCCAACAAAAAATCCAAAACAAGGCCTTAAAAACACTGATGAGCTGAATTATTATCAAATCACATCACCTCTCTAGTGGTTAAGTCCTTTTTCAATGAATTGAAGTTCACTCAAGGTAATTACAAGTGACCCTAAATATCTAGTATAATAATCAGGTGTGATCAGATCAAATAAGAAAGAAAGGAAGACAAAAACTTTATTGATTTGCATGACATGTGCTGTCACGAACTCTTTGAATTCCGTGTTGAATTCGGTGGGCAGTCAATTACGGATGGACACATGTGATGTGCATGCAGTTCTCACTTTTGAATGTGTGGGGAAAAAATTTGAGGGGTGATCAATCACATCACATAAAACCTCTGCAAAAAAAATAATCTCCTCTGTTTTACAATCTCTCTTTCACAACTTGCACAATAAAATGAGAGATTTTTCTACAATTCTGCTCTTGGAAACTCCTGGAAAAGATGATTCAAGTTGAATACTCACGTCGGAGGGGGCCTGATTCCCATCAGGACTCATGACAGCCATAGGACTCTCAGGCTGACCCATTAAATGACTTGTTGCTAGAGCTGCCACAGCCTGCTGGTTTATAGCATTCAAAGTCGGTTGATTTGCACTGGTCACGGCAATAGCTAAATCTCCAGCGGTGGATGGCGAGCCTTGTGCTTTGAGATATTCTTTGAGTTGCCTTTTCTGTTTTTGCTGGATGAAGTAGCGAGTTGGATTTTCTAGCTGGGTTTTGACCTGAAGAAAAGAATTTAAAGCTGTTATCTAACAGGAAACCAGAGCTACTTTGTGGCAAGTTTGATTAACCTATTTCCTTGTCACATACCATTTTCAATAAATTCTCTTTGTTCTAGAAAAGGTGTAGAAAAAATATATATCTTGGCTCAAAAATTGTCTCTGAGAGTAATTATTCTTCTCATGGACTCCTAACCTAGCTTTGTAATCAGGCATTGGAAATAAGTAGTTTTAATGCACACCTCTTAATAACAACATAGTAGCCACTTGACCAAACATGGACAAAGATAGTCTATTAGAAGAAGAGACAATTGGTGAAAAATGATCTATCTATCTAAGAAAGGTCAATCTTATGCTGCTATGTTTGGAAGAAAAGACATATCATATCTGTTCCCCTGGGACTCCAACACAATCATAAAAAATGTGAATATGAGAACATGACACCATGATCTGTCAACACATCAAACAAAGGATCAAAATATCTCCACCACAAACTTTGAACATGACCACTGCAGTTTCACATGTTCACTGTGTGAAGCAGTGAATAATTAGGAAGGCAAGTGACTTCAATGTGATAGAGTTATTTCCCGAGAGAGTATCTTTTTCCTTATTTGCCTTTGCTTGTTGCTAATTCTACAAGCAAGCAAATTCTTAAAAATATTACATAATCAACATGAACGGCGCTAGGAATATAAAAACTGAGAAAAACAACAAAAACAAACCAGAATAAGAAAGCATCCTATGACTAATTGAGAGAGTCTTTTTGATATCAAATGCATGACTATATTATAAAGGCAATATTATTGTTTTCATTGACAAGTTCTTTGTAGATCTTTGCAAAACATCTAGGTTTCATGCACATGCATGTATAAAGCAAAATGCCAAAAAAAAAATTCCAACTTTCTGTAAAAATAAATCACATGTATTTCAACTCCAGATACGATGCTAGAATTCAAGCTGGTTTGTAGCTATTATATTCTGTGCTTTCAAATATCACTCCTATAAGGTTAATTTATAATATTATCAGGTATGCAAGTTGCATTTCATAATCTGCCAAAATTTCTGTATATCATGAACCAGGTAAAAAATGCAAACTCCCCTACAAAACAAATACTAAAAAAGGCAAATCAAGTACAAACTTCATGATATTGAAAAATACGTGTGAGAACATTTCCCTCCACGTTGCATGTATTTCTGGTGCTAGCTATCAAGACATGATCCATCCACGAGTTTTCTTAACCACATTTTGCTGTCTTGTAATATAGTCTGCAGTTATGCTTCTCACACAAGCAAGCTGATGAACAACTCAAACCACATATCGGAAAACAAGTGGCAATTAAAATGAATCATACCTGCAGCACACTTGAAGGAACATCTGGAGGAACTGTTGTTGGAGAGGACGTCCTTGGAACAGCGATGCTCTGGCTTTGGGAAAAATCAGGCTGGCTCGGTTTCTGTGTCTGAAACAACTGATCTTGCTGTTCAAGTTGCTGACGTTGTAGCTGTTGCTTGAAGTTGGTTCTTGTTATTGGAGTGGACATTTTCTTGATTGGGTCAACACGATTTAGCAGCACACCAAGAGCTGATAAATCCTGGCTGTTTTTACGAGAATTGGAATAAGTTAGAATCCATTTTAGTGGATGTTTTATGTGAGGATAATACCCAGGGTATCGGACAGCAAAATCTGTAGACATGATTCACTTCAATGAAGACAAATAAACAGTAAAATAACTCTAAGTACAAAATGGGATAATATTGTGGAGGTTCCTGCTACTTGGAAAGGTTGTTGTTGCAATGAATTCACATGGACATGCCATGACTTTATTAATTGACAATATGATAATTTGAGAACAGCCACAGTGACATCACAAAAGATCAGACCAGGCCTAGGGGTAAAGGTTAAAGGAATTAATTAAACCACTTCCTTTAGTAACACAACACTCTTTCTAACACTCCATAAAAGGTCATTGACACAACAAACACATCTCTGTATACAATGACAGGTCACTCCTTGTTAACACAAATCTTTGTATTTGACCATGTGCAAAAGGAGTGAAAATCCTAAATTACACCTCTTCCTGTGCATGTTCTTTAATAGTAAAATTGATTGAAATTATAGGTTTAAAGTTCAGGGTTGGGCTTCATTCAACATAAAGGAATCCCCTCACATAATCACTTCCTTTCATGGACATTCCTAAATTAGCTCTGACACAAGGAGATATTAAAATAGGAGAAACGTGGCCTCACACTTCAAACACTCAGATAGCTTCACTGGACCATGAAATCAAGCATAACATAATGATATTAAAAATTTCATGCTTTAAGATGATTTGATATACTTTTAAACCAGAAGGAAAGTTACAATTCATTTCACTTCTGTCAAATTCAACTTCATCTTTTCAAAAAATTAGATATATAGTACACAAATAAAGAAACACAAGGCGGAACTATTGAAAATAATGAACCCTGGAATCAGCTAACAGAACTGTCTTAAAAAATAACTTTTTGCACCAGTTTCTCTACACCTACAGCTCAACAACATTACTGATTCTTTCACTTTAAGAATAATATTCTACAATCAAACACTATGCCATGCACTGGAACACACTTATTATGAGCAAAACAGATACTGTACAGCAGTCCTTAAAAGAGTCACACCTCAAGGTCGACCCACAGCCACCCCCATAGAACCACATCCCTTGTAGGGCTTGTAAAATCATCACTTTTAATGAAAATATGACGCCTACTTATACCAAAAGGAGCATGATTATGTTACAAACAGTCTGGAGAAAAAAACACAAAATATCATGTAACTTAAACAGAGCCAGTTTACAGCTTGCTATTTGGGCAAGTCATAGCTTGCATGTGCAAGTTAAAAAAATAATTCAAATAACCCAAAGAAGACTTGATTACATTTCTACTGTAATTTGAATTCCCCAAAAAGTGTCACTTGCCTCTCAGGCAAGTTAAGAACAGAATTCACTAGCCTGATAGCAACATCCACCAGCCACTGGCTATGGGGCACAACAGGAGTGTACATGTACTTTCGTTGCATGCTGTTAAACAGGAAATTTCAAGGAAACTCTTATTCCACTATGCACCTTTACTTCCTTCAAAATAATTTCAAAAGCCTCACTTTATTGCAAAACCCTTTCCCATCAAAATGAAGAATGGTGAATGTCCAACAAGGAAAAAGAAAACTGGGAAAGGAAAGCAAAAAAAGCAGGAAGAAGAGAGAGTAGCAACTGGGGGCGCAGTGAATAAAATATTTTGTCCACAGAGCATGAAAAATCTGTCGCCTGCACATTCTCAAACTATAAAAGCAGAAATTTAGCATCAGAAACTTTTAAGAATACTGATAGTCCTCCTCTTGTAAACAGTAGTTTGTCAGTTCTGACAGCTAGACTAGTTCAAAACAACTTATTTTTTTCAGCAAAAATGACATCTGGGAGAAAATGGGTTGAACAAACATACAATACATACCTATTTACCTGAATAAAGTAAGCCTTAAATAGTTTAATGGGAAATGGTGTGATTATTCAAGGCATTGTTTTCAGGAAAATTGTAGCAAGCCCGGCTAAGGCTTTGAAGTTATAAAATTGAGTGCCCTGTGTTTCGTTATTTTGGCAAGAACTGAGGCTTCCTTATTGCATGAAGACAAAAGCGAGTCACCAGGACCTGCAATACTCATCAAAAATCTTGAAACACTTGTGTCTGTTTCCCCTTCCCCAATGTTGATTTGGGTATCACAGTGGTCTCAGTGCTTCCAAATACATGTGGCTCAACATTGGGGAGGGAGAAGGCACATTTCAGGGGGGAAAACAGTGTGAAGTATAAATCTAAGGATTTTTCTAGAAAATTTGAGAGAAACAGTGTCTGTTTCAGCGATTTGAGACGAGTATTGCTAGCTCTTCTGTAGCACACCTTGGTTGTTGTGTTTGACGTCAGGAGAATGCAACCTAAACTCAACACATTAACCTAGGTATGAGTATTTAGCAAAAAAGCAACAAGATCTTTGATGTTTTCGGCAAGTACCAGAAACAGAATGAACTTAAGACTTTTCTTTCCCAGAGCCACTCATTTCATTAGAATGCATGGCACTTCATGGAAAAGAATGTTTAGAAATACTACTTGGGATGTTGAATGCTCTATCCTGATCATTTACAGCTCAAACAACAACAATGATAATCAGGAGCACATACTGATGGGCAAGTAGCAATCGCTCTTGGTCTCATTTATGCTAAAAGATAAATTTCATTACTCAGAGTAACTGGCTCAATAACTAACCATTCTCTCCAGCCATATACTGTAAGAGCAATTTAAAATTCACATATGCTGTGTGTTGTGTTCCGTTCATTTGGGGGTATAAAAATAACTATTGCAATCTCTCGTACAAGTTACTGTATTTTAATTCATTGTTGATTATACTAATTTCACTCTGGCCATATTTATCTAACAGGCTACAAAAGCATTGACGATACTGCTATTACTTTGGTCTTGGTAAGAAAAGGAATGTGGCTCTGTCAATTAAACTCATCCCCATATAATAGTTGACTGAATTATACAAACTTCCATACTTTTTTTGACATTCATCAGTAACCACAATTTCAAAGGTAAACATTCAAACTTTATCTGGAATATTTTTTTATGGAATTCTCTCCTGTCTTCCAGAACTATAATTTCTGAAAACTACTGCTATGGGCATAAAGGGTTTTGTTTATCATTTGTCTCATGATTGTCGCTTCCGTTCCCCAGGTCTTCATCAGGCAACAGCGTTGATTTGTTGCTATGGGCATTCTTAAATCAATAAATAGTGTCTTATCTTAGTTGTTTGACTTGGTAGAAAGGACAAAACATTCTAAGCATTGCAATCAAGAACAGTAGAGAAAACTATTAAATAGTAACAACTAAATAATTTCTAGGTCAGGCCATGGATTAATGGGCATCCCATTGGGTTCTATTTTGGAAACAGTTAACTCCAAAGACTTGAGCTAGTCTCTAGCTCTGCCACTTTCTCATCAGCAAATCTTAATCTTTACAAGAGAACAAATATGAAATCTACTAATTTGCCTTCATTTTGTTAAGAAAACATTAGAATATTTTACAAGCACACCATCTTCTATCTCTTTTCATAGACGCTTTTCACTTTAATATATTCCACATGAAGATCACATGAATGTTCTTAACAATAACGGCTTGGCTATTTCATTTAAATGCCTTGTCCCTGGTGAGCTCAATTAACCAAAACAAAGGCACGTGCTAGAATTTTCAAGACAATCAGTGCCTGTTTCGTTGAAAACCAGTTTAAAATCAACACATCCACCTAGAGATTAAGGCGTTTTAAAATTTGTTTTCATAAAATACAAAGCAGGATGGCCAAGAAAGCTACAAAACACTTCCTCGGAAAACCGAAATCGAAACCCGGGAAATCTACATCTATTGATTTAAGAGATAACAGTTTCCCGTTTTGCGACAATAATCTCAACAACTTCGACTCTATCAGCGAAAGGTGGTGAATCGTTAAAGTTCGAAAGTAATATTGACTTGTGTAATTTTGGGATTGAGGTGTATTTTGCGAAGCTAACAACAAAAGATAAGGAATCTTTGAAATAATACGAAACTAGTAGTAACTTATACCTTGCACTTCTCCGACTACATACTATAAGCTTATTTGACAAATAGAAAAATAACAATCTAATATTACTTGACACTGCATAAATGTACGCCCGCTAAGATAAGACATATCGACAAAGTACATAGCAAATATCAGGTGGATGGTACAAGGTTGCCCAAGCAAAAGAAGGCAGAATAAAGGTTTTACTTAGTGGATCAATTGAGCGTAAGCTTTAGCTTAATAATATTAATGTATCATGTTTTTTCAAACAACATTGTGTGCCCGGACAAGTAAAATGAAAACTAAACGGATATCCGACCTACGCTGGTACCATTCAGTATTAGATATCATCCAAAAAATATTCACTTTCCGTCATTGGCGAGCGCTCAAACCGAAGTGCATGATGAAGCTCAGATGGCGTCGCGACACACTCCTTCACGCTTATTACGTTCGCAAAAATGAGCATCCTCAATAAACTAAATGAATTTTTTTGAATTGTTTCGATTGAGTTCTTTAAAACCGCATGCCCTTTCGTCATTTATTAAAATGTGAAACCATGCCATGTACAAGTGAGCGATTCGAGCTCATGACATTATGTAAGGAAGTGATGAACAAGGTACAAAATGTGCTCTGCATGTCGCTGCATGGAAATCAATCCTCTATCGAGTTTAAAACGAAAGACATTAGGACAAAGGCTCCACAATTTATACAAGCATACAGTAAAACCCCCAGGGACGACTTAAATGAATAAAATGAACAAAATAAAACAACCATGAAATTCTTACCTCGGTGGCTTTGACTTTAACTTGTAAAATATCTCTCCTTCGTCTTGCGAATCGAAGTCGTCCGGACTGAGAAGGTCAAAGTCGAGATCTACTCCAGACTCACTCATTTGAAAGCTGTGTTGAACAAGGTTAGGGAAAGCTAAGGTCTCAAACCAACAACGAGAAGAAACTCCGTGCTAGCTTGCCCGCTTTCGAGTTTTCATCCTTAAGGTTCCGACACCATCTTGGTTCTCGAATGTCAAATTCTGATTGGTCAAATCGCCAAATGCGGTTTAAAAATAGAGGTTGACGTCAAAGCCATCTTATAGGTTCTTTATCGGCAAACACCCAAGCCTTTTAAGGAACAAACAATAACAGGCGTAGATTTTAGCGATCCTTTTATGGAACAAGAAAAACAGCGTCCTGCCAAAATTGTGTGGACTTTCTTAAAATGAAACTTTATACATGTCTCAGGGATAATACTCGAAGATTTTCCGATGAAAGTCGATGCCCACTTTCGCAAAGCTCGAATTACCCTGCTCCTTGCATCATCTTATTCTAATGCAGAAAGACTGTATGGCCAACAGATAAGCGGAAGCAAAGTTCAATTTTAAGGGAATACCCTTGCCTTGGGTAAATTTAAAACAAAGCGTGGTTTTCCTAGAAATAGGGACAAACCCATCCAACAATTCAATCGGGAATACCCTCTCTTAGCACTGTTCTGTGTCATGACTAAGTAGTGTTTTGGTGACAGGCCTGAGAGTAGGATTTGAGAGAAGAAAAAAAATATTGTAGAAATTTGGCCCCGACTAGTGTTATTCTCTTTGCAACATGCACAGTAACTGGAGGAATGATGGGAAAAGAGAGTTTAGAAATTAAAATAGTATAAACGTTTTTTAACTAAAAAAC